ATTATCGCCTATTCTATCAAAGCAGGCATGCAGATGTATGATGGAGATTAAATTCCAAGTCTGTAATTTCCTCAAATCTGTTTCCCATCCCCCAAATGTATTGAACTTCTGCTCCTAAAATCCTTAGTCAGCAGATGCCTATTTTGATCCAATTCTACATGTTTTTATTAGGTATCTTGGTCTATTTTTAAAAAGCTTGCTTGGAGTAAAATAGTGAAAAATCTTCCATCTGCTTTTCATCTCTGCTTTTTCTCTGCTGCTTTTGAGTGGCTACAGTGACTTCGCTCAGATAGGAAGGAGGGTAGAATCAATTTGCCCTACATGAAGACGAGTCAGGAATGTTAATATACTTAGTGCAGCAGTTGTACAAGAAGTCCTTGACTTAAAACGACCACAACCAGGACCAGAATTTTGGTTTTAAGTCGAGGCATCCACACGATCAGACCCAATTTTTTTATGAGTTCATGACAGTCATTAAGCAAATCACTCAGTTGTGAGTTAGAATCCAGGGGCGGCCCAAGAGCCAAATCTAAGTAGTGTCTGGCCCACAGGCCTCAAGTTTGATCCCTTGTCTAGGAGGTGAAGGGATGTAGCTTTCCAGAGGTGGTCCCTCTTAAATCGAAGCTTCTGGCTGTTGGCCTCATCACTCTGCTCTTTCTTTTGCTGTGGACCTTGGGAATTCTGGGTTAGTCAAAAACATTAACAATGCCTTGTGGAGAATTTATCTCCAGGGATACAGATGCAAGCTGTCTATGGAATAAAAGCTGGTAGGCTAGTGAGAACCATCTCTTTTCTCAATCTCCAAAGAAAGGAGGTATTTAAAGGGCATATTTCCTGCCAGGTTAAGAAATGTGTTTATTGTGGATTTAGTGCACTCAAGTAAACTGGTGTCGCGAATGGCTCTAAAGGCAAAATGTGATTTAGTTGGGGTATTAGGTAAATACTGTCATTTTAAAAAAATAGTGGACATCTAGCAAAAAACCCAATCACTGTGGCCCACTGTGGAAGGACATTGCACCAGGTGCCTTGTTCTCTACCTGAGTATGGGTAGTTCTTGACTTACAACCACAATTGAGCCCAAAATTTCTGTTGTTAAGCGAGGCATTTGTTAAGTGGATTTTGCCCCATTTTACAATCTTCCTTGCCACAGTTGTTAAGTTAATTTAGTTTTCCCATTGACTTTGCTTGTCAGAAGGTCTCAAAAAGAGGGAATCACATGACATAAGGGGACACTGCAACGGTAACAAATATGAATCGGTTGCCAAGCCTCTGAATTTTGGTCACATGATCCAAGGGGATGCCGCAATGGTCATAAGTGTGAAAAAGAGCCAGTCACTTTTCAGTGCTGTTGTAACTTCCTGGTCACTAAATGAACTATTGGTAAATCTAAGACTACCTGTATATTAATTTGGTCATGCAATCTTTCTAACTTAGCGTATCATGGTACATGTTAAGTCATTTGGGTTTGTTAGCTGGGTTTGCACAACACTAAGCATATGTCAAAATCAACAACTAGCTATGAATTAAACTGATAAGCTTGTAATACGCCTTCCCAAGGATCTGGAAGCATATCACCCAGATGGATGGGTGGTTAGCCAATTTAGTTTTATTGCTGTGATTGGATTAATTGACTGAAAAATTGTGTGTGAGTGTTGGTGAATATTCAAAGGTTTTGAGATTTATTTTAATAAGTGGTGAAACCTGTTTGAGCCAAGGCTGTGGAAAAAGGACAGAAAGAGCGAGTCACGGACTGTTCAGCGGAGCTCATACGATCTTAAAACCTTGCTTAGAAATGCCCATAGAGTTTCTGAAGGGAGAAGATGACAATTGATATGCAAACTGCCCTAAGAGACCATCCCTTCCCTGCAGTATGTCATCTCTTAGGATTGTTCTAAGGCTGGTATTCCCCAGCCTGATGTCCACAAAGACCTTGTCCATCATAACCAGAAAAAGAGTATAGGTGTTAGCCTTTATTTTAGTATCTCTTTTAGTATGCCACTGGGTTTCAGGTATGCTTTATCCTTATAGGTATCTGTAGTTTAGCTTCTAAGACTCATGACCCCAAGAAAGGGGGCTAAGCTTAAAATGGATGAAGATGTGATCGAAACACTAGAGAGATGCCACTGGTTTATATTGTTCTTATTAGGGCTCTGGCATCTACCCCCATTCAAATCATGAGTCTCTAGCCACATTTCTCAGAGTTAATTTTTTTTTAATATTAGGAATGAACATGCCGCTACTACCTGGGTGCAGCTGACTCTGAGACACATCGTTCATTTCACCCTTGACCCTGGTCTTCCCCCACTCCTGGATGTATATTCTCCAATGGGACACGTCCATAGCCAAGAGTCATCATCAATCATGCTCTCCAGTAGTAATCTTGCGTGCCAGAAGACTAGCGATTATCTATGAAAGCATTTAAGGAATGCACTACTTCCCCCACTCCCTTTCTGCTGAGAAATATTTTTGAGTTGACACTTTCGTTGTGCTGTGGTGGTGCAGTGGTTAGAGTGCAACACTGCAGGGTGCTTCTGCTGACTGCCATCTGCCTGCAATTTGGCAGTTCGAATCTCACCAGGCTCAAGGTTGACTCAGCCTTCCATCCTTTCCAGGTTGGTAAAATGAGGACCCAGATTATTGGGGGCAATATGCTGACCCTGTAAACCGCTTAGAGAGGGCTGTAAAGCGCTGTCAAGCAGTATATATAAGTCTTAAGTGCTATTGCTTTATATTGGATCACCATATGAACGGCAGTCATTTTGTGAATAGGCAGAATCCCAAATTTTCTTTTCTAGCATCAGCCAAAGACATGGGGGGGAGGCGGGCCTCTTCCAATGTAGGGTTTAGCAATCTGATTTCTGGGTACCTGGAACTAAATCAGCTTGAATCCTCCTGAAGCCTGTTGTAAGCTGAGATGGAAACTATTGAGAAATTCTGCCCAGAATTACTTCCTTAAGATGGAAGGCATTTTTTTTCAATCAAAACAAAGCAAAACAAATGTGAAAACAATTTGTAAGCTAATTTAGGAAAGTCTTTTTGCTAATTGCAAAATATCCTGCGGAAAGGGACAATTTTCAAGACATTCTTAAGGGATGAAGTGGTTGGGGAGCCATTCCTTAGCTCCTATACTAAATAGGAGATAGTGATAAGAAGACCATTTCAAAGTGAAGGTTTGGTCCTGCTTAGGAATTCTAGCACAGGTCCATCAGATCTTCTAGTAGGTGGAAGAAGTCCTCTGATGAATAAGCAAGGAACAGTTGTTTTCTAAAGATGGGATGTGGTGGGAGATGTAGTCCACACCTGTAAGAGCAAGGCCATCAGACACGATTACAACTGCAGCTAAGAGCTTCTTTATGAAGCCTGGCCTTCAGGAGAACAAAGCGGAGCTTGTATGGCTGTTGCAGCTGCTTAGTCAGCTCCTCTGTCCTTTAAGAGGGAAGTTTTGTTGCTGCTTTTAAAAAAAGGGTGGCTGTGATTAATGTGAAGATCGTTGGTGTCTTAGGATGGTTGGGCCTTTTAAAATAGGCATAAATCCTTCTCGCTTGCATTCATGTTGTTTTCCCCCATCCAAGCCTGGATGAGAGCAGAGAGCCCTGAAGTCTACTTACAACGCCCAGATTCCAGCTTGGAACTGTAAAGGGATAGCAATGGATTCTGACCACACCTTGAATTCACCCTTTTTGCCATTGAGGACGGAGAGCTTTTGGCTCAAAGGTGCTGCGGCCAATTAGGTCTATGCAAAAATACAATTTGGTTTTGGTGTCAGTGCCAGAGATTCTTGTATTTTCTCCCATCCTATCCTCTGAGAAGATCTCTCTTGGGAGGGGGGGGGGTTCTTTTCCTCATTTTGTTGGGTCTGTTCTCCAGGTGGTTTATCCTCCTCAGAATTCTCTCTACCAATAGGACTGTGCTGGCTAGAGATCCCATCACAGCTGGGCACCAGGTTAGGGAAGGGTGGTGGTTTCTAGTTAGGGTAGAGATTTTGTGGACTTTGTTCCTTCTTTCATATTGGAAATACCAAGCATTTAAAGCAAGGGTCTTCAAACTTGACAGCTTTAAGACTTGTGGACTTCAACTCCCAGAATTCCTTCTCCAGTCATCTTATCTCAAGAATTCTGGGAGTTGAAGTCCATAAGTCTTAAACTTGCCAAGGTTGGAGACCTTTGATTTAAAGGGGTCTTCTGAATGGAAAACACGTATGGCATCTCTTCACAGCTTCCTTGTTCTGTGTTAAGGTATTGAGATTTAATAGCTGACCAGCTGTTGTAAGGGTGCTGTAAACGATGATGCAATGAGAATGAGTCAGCAGGGTATTTGCCACTTTAAGAAGCTGTCTATATAAAGGCGGCCATGAAGAGGGCGTCTCTCTCCTCATGTTCTATCTCCATTGTAGTTCTCAGTGCAGAGTAATGAAGACTGATTGCTTGCCTGGTATGTGCCTAACATGTATGTATATAGCAGTATGTATATAGCATATATGTATGTATATAAACCACTGTTAAAAGACAAAGCCTCTGTATGCTGTGTTGTGCTCCTGGGTGGTCTCACAACAGTAGTCACGCTGCAAACACTCTTACAGTGTCCAAAACGTTTGGGCCCTGTATAAAACTAAGCAGATTATAAATTGGCTAGTAGCACAAGACTTATAATAAAGTGTCGAGAGGTTCTCTAAGATACAAAATTTCTGATGAGAAACCCATCAGCCTCAGCCACTCTTGTTGTGGGAAGGCATATGGGGAGTTATAGTCTGCCACAGAAGAGTACCAAGTTGGGGAAAACTTGGGACTTTTTAAGGGCTTGTCTCTCAGTGTTCGGCAAATAAGTTTCTTGACAGATTGTCCCAAGAATGTATGTCTCTTAGTCTAAGAATGGAAAATTGGCATATAACCTGGAAAGATCATACTTCCTATTGTAAATACTTTGGAATGTGCTGCTGGAATACACAGCTTTTTCCCCCTCCACCTAACTCAAACCTTTCTCTTTTTATTTATCCTTGAAAGTTCTGGGAAGTGATCAGTGATGAACATGGAATCGACCCAACTGGGACCTACCATGGTGACAGTGATCTACAACTGGATCGCATCAGTGTTTACTACAATGAGGCCACTGGTAAGCCTTCCTCTCCTCTTCCTCCTCCCTCACTCTTTTGGCCTGATTTGATCCAAATGTTTTCCAACAAATAAATATGAATCCTTGTTGAATTTCCTCATTGTCTTCTCTAGAATCATTCCTACTGTGTATGACCTTGTATAGTTATAGTCTGAGCTTGCTAAGAATCCCAACAGTCATTACGTGAACTTAAAGTAGACTTCTAATAGTTATTTCTTAACACTCAACTTATGACCAACCCCCAAAAGGTGACCCAGATCCAAAACTCCCCTTTCCTGTGGTGACGTGACCACTGCATTTGGCAACACAGCTGCATTTAAGACTTTGCAAGCTGGTCATGTGGCTGCATTTTATGACAGTTTTGCTGAAAATTGGTACTTCTGATTTTTGGCAAAACCACGCCCCCCCATAATGACCATGGGGTTTGCTTTACAATTGCCATATTCACTTAATAACGGCTGCAAAAAAAGTTTGTAAAATCAGGTGTGACATAAAACTAGTTGTACAACCTGTGACCATAATGGGCAGTCTCCATTACAGTTGTAATTTGAGGACTACCTGTATTAAATTAAAAGGCTTGGCTCAGGATTAACCTTCATCTTACCCTACAAAGATAGCCTAATAAATTGGATTGAGATAATAAATTGGATTGAGAAAGGTGTACCCCAACAAGTATTGGAAAGATGACTACAATATTTTTAATACTATATTGAAATGCCTCTTTTTTTTCTCTCCCACTTTTTGTAACTCAATTCTGTGTGTTCCTTCCACCCATCCTTTATATCGAGGGCCTCCAAACCTGGCAGCTTTAAGGCTTTAAGACTTCAACTCCCAGAATTCTTTAGCCAGCTATATTGTGTGGCTAGGGAATTTGGGGAGTTGATGTCCACAAACCTTAAAGTTGCCAAGTTTGGAGGCCTCTGCTATAATTAAGGAATGTCTGACATCCTTTAATTCAGGGGTCCCCAACCACTGAATTACCTACCGGGCCGCTGGTTTGCTGGGCGCCACCATCTTTTTTTGATGAAAAAGTGCTTCCGGTGAGCTTTTCCGGGTAGAAAGCTCGCCGGAAGCACTTTTTCATCAAAAAAAGATGGCAGCGCCCAGCTGATGCCGGTACTGGGCCGCAGCGCCCAGCTGATACCGGTACCAGGCCGCGGCATAAAAAAGGTTGGGGATCACTGCTTTAATTCATTGACTGCCTTACCAATGCTCAGCCTCTCCTCTGAAATCTTAACAACTAGGCACAAGCAAGCTACTTTGATAGCTAGAACTCAACTGTAATTTCGTCAGAGGAAACTTACTTTGTTACGGCAATGGATTTTCCCTTACACGTGTTTTTGTTTGTTTGTCTAGGTGGTAAATATGTCCCTCGTGCCATTTTGGTTGATTTGGAGCCAGGAACCATGGACTCAGTGCGTTCTGGACCTTTTGGACAAATATTTCGACCAGATAATTTTGTATTTGGTAAGAAACTACCTCTTTTTTTTTTGCTACTTGTAGCTATATTTGATAGGGGAAAATATAGGGTCTAGACTAAGTTTGAGCAACCAGCACCTTTTGTCAAATTGTCTTGATAATTTACTTTGCTATTGAAGGAGGAAGAGAAGACGACGTTGCAAAGCATTGACATGATAGGAGGGGCAGGCAAAGATAAGTGAGCTCAGGGCAAGCTGGGATAGCTACGTCTTCTGGAATGTTTGGTTCTGCCTTCCAGGTTTTGGATCTCTGCTGCGTGAACTTCAACTCCCAGAATTTCTGGGAATTGAAATCCACCCAATTTTCAGGGGACTGTCGCACTTCGTTGATACTTAAAACTGCTGGTGCCCTCCAGCTGTACTAACTAGGCTGTCATTTTTATGACTTAGGTATCAATCGAATTGTCACCCGAAACATTTGGAGGACACTCCAGAGAGGATTGTATTGAATGTAGAAGCCAGTTCAATCTAGCGGTTAAGGTGCTGGACTAGAAACCAAGATACTTCATGAGTTCTAGTCCTGCCTTAGGCATGAAAAACTGGGTGGGTGATCTTGGACCAAATAACAGAGTGGGAAGGGACCTTGGAGGTCTTCTAGTCTAGCCCCCTGCTCAAGCATGAGAACCATCCTATACAATCTCAGACAAGTGTCTGTCTAGTCTCTTCTCAAAAACCTCCAGTGATGATTTCTGAAGGCAAGCTGTTTCACTGGTTAATTGTCCTCACTGTTAGAAAGTTTCTCTCGTGAGTGTGGAGGGTTTGAAGGACCCTCCTATGGTAGGTTTGAAGAATAGTGTTGCGTGTTCAAGAAGATAATCTGTATACATCTGATGCGGAAAGGCCAGGGAAGTAGAAGTAGCTAGCAGTCGAAGGGAAAGGTGGCTTTCCTAACCCAATTTAATGATGTATTCCCCATCTACTTCTTCTGAACTTTTCAGGCCAGAGTGGAGCTGGTAACAACTGGGCCAAAGGTCATTATACAGAAGGTGCCGAGCTGGTGGATTCAGTCCTAGATGTTGTGAGGAAGGAAGCTGAGAGTTGTGACTGCCTGCAAGGATTCCAGCTGACCCACTCTCTAGGGGGTGGAACCGGTTCTGGAATGGGCACCTTACTGATCAGCAAGATCCGTGAAGAGTACCCTGACCGTATCATGAATACCTTCAGCGTGGTGCCTTCCCCCAAGGTCTCAGATACCGTGGTGGAGCCTTACAATGCTACCCTCTCTGTCCACCAGCTAGTGGAGAACACAGATGAGACCTACTGCATCGACAACGAAGCTCTCTACGACATCTGTTTCCGCACCCTCAAGCTGACCACTCCAACCTACGGGGATCTTAACCACCTGGTCTCAGCCACCATGAGTGGCGTAACGACCTGTCTCCGCTTTCCCGGACAGCTGAACGCCGATCTCCGCAAGCTTGCTGTAAACATGGTTCCTTTCCCTCGGCTCCACTTTTTCATGCCCGGCTTCGCTCCTTTGACCAGCCGTGGCAGCCAGCAATACCGGGCCCTCACGGTCCCTGAGTTAACGCAGCAAGTTTTTGACGCCAAGAACATGATGGCAGCCTGCGACCCCCGGCACGGACGCTACCTCACGGTGGCCGCCGTCTTCCGAGGCCGCATGTCCATGAAGGAGGTGGACGAACAGATGCTGAACGTGCAGAACAAGAACAGCAGCTACTTCGTCGAGTGGATCCCCAACAACGTCAAGACGGCCGTGTGCGACATCCCTCCCCGTGGCTTGAAAATGGCGGTCACCTTCATCGGCAACAGCACGGCCATCCAGGAGCTCTTCAAGCGCATCTCCGAGCAGTTCACAGCCATGTTCCGTCGCAAAGCTTTCCTGCACTGGTACACAGGTGAGGGCATGGACGAGATGGAGTTCACGGAAGCGGAGAGCAACATGAATGACCTCGTCTCTGAATATCAACAATACCAGGATGCCACAGCTGAGGAAGAGGAGGATTTTGGAGAAGAGGCGGAGGAAGAAGCTTGAGGCTAAACCTCGCGCCCTTTTGACACCTGTTCAATAAGTCCTCACAAAATAAAAATTAAAAAAAAAATTGCATCTCTACCCTGTGTTTCCTTCTCCTTCTTCTCAAAACTTAACCTGTCCACTCTCTTTTCAGACTTTTCTTACACAGCAGCCTCTTAACGATGGTTTAAAGTTGGCTTGGCTTTTTTTTACATGTAGTACTTTTTTTAGTTATGGCAGGTACCTTGTAAAATCAGGTGAGGGGAGGCTGTGTAAGACACTGGGAGAAGATGCAGTTCCTTCCTTGCCTGTAATTCTTACTGTATTTATTATTCCCCAACCTACCATATCTCTTTTGTCAACCTAAATAAAACTGCAGCTTCGACAAGGAAGTAGACAGTTTGGAGCAGACTTGCTTAGGGGAAAACAGATACCTTTAAAATGGAACCACTTCCTTGTTCTGCCAAATGCTCCTTTCACCTTCCTGGCTTTGCCTTAAAGGCATCCATATTCTGTATCTGCAATGGAAAAATCCTTGCGTGGGCTGGATTTGGCTCTTTTTCCCCACCATCAGTATTCATGTCCCACCTGTCTACCACACTTGACTTATCCCACTCGGGGTTGACATGTTTCAAGTCTGTGACTAAATCTAAGGATGTTTATCACAGCTTCATGTTTTGCCAAACAAAAAACTAACAGTATTTTGCTCCCTAAAGCGGGCGTTTGTTCAAACTTTAGCTTTAATCTTAAATCCTAACCTTAGTTGAATTATTAATTGAACATTGCTATGTAGGGCATAAGATGCACTAAAAACGAAGGTCACTTCCGCTTCATTCAAATTAGGTGCTTGTAAAAGATACATTGCTTAATTGCTGCTCAAAGAAGCAATTCCATTAAATAGGAAGGAAGGTGCCGTGTAAGTGCTAAAAATTTAAATTTGTTTTAGGGAGAGGTGTAGAGATAGATGTGTTTGAGGGTATGTCTGCTCCAAAAGAAATATGAATGAAGTTCAAATGTTCCAGGATGTACAAGGGGGCAATGCATGATTTGTTTCAGGTTTACTCAATATATGACGTGCCATCTTATTGCAGATGTAGACTGCCATTGTGTTGCTTAAGTGATAGCAAGTGTCAAATATAGAGAGGCCACTTAAGTTAGTGTGGCTAAATGGAAGAGCATAAGACACACTAACTTTGCCCCTAAAATACTAGATGGAGTATTTTTGGCTCGATGGGTCACCCCTAAAAGATTGCCTTCTATCAGTATTTCTCAACGAGATGCGTGGACTCTGTCCTGCCTTTTCTTCTGCTTGTTGATCCAACTTTTTACTCACCTGTTCCACTCATTTGTCTTCTTTGCTTTTTCTTCTTTTTAAAAAAATCCCTGTTTGTTCATATTTGAAAAGTCCTGTGAACAAATAAAAGTTGTTTTTTTAAAACGTTTTCTTTTGTGTTGAGTGAATCTGATCATTCACCTTGTGGGACGAGCAAGCCTCATTCTATCATTAAAAAAACAAAAACAAATGGAATTTCCTAACTGGTAAGAGTCATCCACCTGTAGTGTCCGGTGAAAGTTGATTGAACTCTATAGGGAGAGGAATGGTTAGCCAGCTGGAGCAAAGGAAGAATGTGCAGATTCTGGAATTGGTCGCTTAAGATGACCTGGAAATCTGATCAGCAAAGATTGGAAACCAGCTACAGAGGTGTAAATTATTTACATGGAAAAATGCCAGCAAGGAGGCAATGCAGTCCTTTTTACAGAAAACACCACCGTGCTGTTGGTTCTTTGTTGGCCACCACTGGGGATACAATATTGAAGCATTAAACCAGGGGTCTCCAACCTTCACCACTTTAAAACTTACAGACTGGCTGCAGAATTCTGGGAGTTGAAGTCCACATGTCTTAAAAAAGTGGCCAAGGTTGAAGACCCCTGCATTAATTTAAAACAATACACAGTAACTTATTTAATTCAGCAGCCTTGTTCCTTATTCCTTGCCTTGTTAAATCAATGCTGGCCAGTCAAGGTGACCCATCGTTGAGTGGTGTGACTTTCTTGAAACAATTTATCAGAAATTTTTATCCCATCTTTATTACTTTATAAGTAGCTCAAAGCAGCAAACAGACCTAATACTCCTTTCTCCTACTTTCCCCAAAAACGATGGTGGATTGGGTTGAGAGAATAACTGGCCCAAAGTCACCCAATGGGTTTTCACACCTAAGGCAGGACTTGAACTCACAGTCTCCTGGTTTCTAAGCCAGCCCCTTTGACTACTACACCAAACTGGCGCTCTCTTCAACACAATTTTCTCTCTTGAGTGCCTTCCAAATGTCTCGGGTTGCAATAGTCCATTTATATCCAAACCATGAATGAGAGCCTAGCTAGCACATATGGAAAACATCAGCTAAGGTGTCAATGAACTGTGACAAGATTGGCACCGTGTCCAACGGACTGACTTCTGGGTTTGTTCAGAGGTATAGGGGGGAAAAACATTCTATATTTCCTTCAGGGGTGCACTCTCCCCCCCCCCCCCATGTAAACAAAGGCCGCAAAAAGCATGTTGTCTCCAAAACTGGGCTCTTGCTTGGTGTCGGAAGCCGAGAAGTCACCGAACACAAGGTGTGATGCAAAATGATACTTTTATTTTGGTACCAAGATATAAGGACCTTAGTTCAAAAGCTAACCAAAGGCCCCGATTCCACTCTTGCAGCAATTTTTATAGTCAAGGGGTGGTCCCATTCAGCCCTTTGCCCTTCCCCTCATAATGCATTTATAACAGATAATATTGATTGGTTATTTGGATCTCAGACCCCTACACAGCTAAATGTTGCATCACCTGTGTTTCACCCCAGGTCACGGGTATCATGCAAAGTATCCTAGTTTCATATGCCAGCTATGTGGTTTTGTGGTTTTTTTCATATAAGCAAACTATTCTTGTCCCTAATATCCTGGCTAGTGGTTTAAGGTGGTAACTTCTTCCCTGCTAAGATTGTGCAGTTCCAACCTCTTTCCTATTGCAGAGCTGTTCAAAGCAGCACCCCCTCAACTTCCCTCGACCTTCCCTCCTTCCGCAGAGAAAAGTAAAAGCAGTTTTAAATCTTTGTCTGAGGCAGTACCCCCCCACCTCCATGACCCCGCCTTCTTCTGTAGAGAGGGACAGAAGGGAGCAAGGCTGCTTAAGGCATAGAAACGAGGACGAGAGAAAATGTTTTATCAGAATTCCTATTCCTCGCTCTCATGTCCATTCCATCCATACCTGGGTCCTATCTCCACATTTGACCCTTCCTCTGATCCCCAGGGCCTCCTCTGTACATACATTCCACCACCTGATCCTTCAGCAGACGGAGGCCCTTCCATGTGGCAGATAGGAAAGAGGCTGCCAGAGAAGGGAGGGAGGTGGGGTTGGGTTCAGCCTTTCTATACATGGTAGCAGCAGCCAGGCTCCAGTGGGTCACGTTGTGTGGAGCTATCATACTTTGTGCGTGCTTCACCGGAATTTATTTTCTAGCCACATGACTGGAGAGACCAGCTCTGTTGCTGGAACTAACCTGGAACTAAAAGGGAGGATGATTAACCAGTGCAGGGGTGTCAAACTCAAGGCCTGCGGGCTGGATCTTGGCCTGCAGACTGCTTAGATCTGGCCTGTGGGACTGGCCTGGAAATAGCAAAGGACCGGCCTGCGGTGCCTCTGTTAACAAAACCAGGGCACAGAGCGGGCTGCACGCCCACCCTTTTGACTGTCAGGGTGCTGCAGTCCAGGCCAAAAATTTCTCAGGAGAAATTTCCTGACAGTGGGAACAAGTAACCAGTGGAACAGCTTGCCTTCAGAAGTCGTGGGTGCTTCTTTATTGGAGGTTTTCAAGAAGAGACTGAATAACTATTTGTCTGAAATAGTATAAGGTTTGTTTGAGCAGGGGGTTGGACTAGATGACCTACAAGGTCCCTTCCAACTCTTATTTTATTACGTGTTTTTCAACCTTGACAACTTTAAGATGGGCGGACTTCAACTTAAATATGGATCTATTTAAGGCACATATCCTGGTCTATATATATATTTTTTTGTAACCCAAATGATTAATCAGTAGAGCCTTCAAATGTGTAATCATCCAGATAAAGGTAAATGGCAAACATCTGTAAGCACAAAAGAAAGCATTGCCATTTAAATATTTCATTTTAAACTTGGGGAGATACGATTGCATAGTCTTGGGCCAAGTAGGCTTAAATATGATGGAAGATGCAAACAAAGCTTTATTTCGACCTAATCCAGTTAATGAATTGCAGAATCAACTCTGTTGACCCATGGCTTTTCATGCTAAGAAAGCTTTAAAGAACTTTGGAGCCTGTCTTTGGAGGTTCTCAATCATCCAGGTCATGATTGTCCCAAAGGTGCTTTTTCCAAAAGGCAACTGGACTTTCTTGATTTTTTCTTCCCCCCCTTGAAAATATTTCACTTCTCATCCAAGACCTTGGCTGAGGGAATTCTGGGAGTTGAAAAGTCCACATCTGTTAAACTTGCCAAGTTTAAAAAAAAACCACTGAGTCAGATTATTTTTCCAGTGGTCTAGAAAAAAAAAGGACACGTGGCATATTTAATTTGACATATAAATAAAGTTCATGGTGGCTTGAATACTACTGCTTTGCATGGAAAGATAGATTCCGCTTTATAGAAAGGAGGAGGAGAGGGTTTTAGGATCAGGGGTGGGCTTCAAAAATTTTAGCCACGGGTTCTCTGCCTGGTTGCTGGGTGGGTATGGCCATGGTGGGCGTGGCCTAGTCGGCCTCCTGCACCATGGCGGGGGGGTCATTTTTGGCCTCCCCAGGCTCCGGAGGCTTTCCTCAAGGCTCAGGGAGGGCAAAAATGGCCACCCCGGGCTCCAGAGGCCCTCCAGAAACTGGAATCAGGCCCATTTCCGGTCTTCCTGAACTTCCGGGTGGCCCGTTTTTCCCCCTCTGAGAGCCTCCAGGTACACCCTGGACTTACCTGCATCCCAAATGGGCCGTGTGGGGACTCCTGGGAGAGGAGGAGTGGGGTGGCGAGGCCAGCCAAGAGTGGGATTTGGGGGTTCTCCAAACTGCACAGAATCTTAGCTAGAGGGGCTCCCGAACCCCTGCAAACTCCCAGCAGCCCACCCCTGGTTTGGTTAGTGCAGTAGCCCCCAATCTTTGGGGCACCAGGAACCAGTTCTATGGAGATAAGTTTTTCCATAAACTGGAGGGGTGTGTGGTTTCGTGTGCTATGTCAACATTCCGAGTAATGCACCCATTGAAAGCAGAACTCCGCGGCAGGTAGATTCCTCAAAGAACATGTTTATTGGATACATCACATCATGGTTGTAAGATATGTTAGAGAACCTCATATATTGGGACTGTAATTGCTGGGAGATGAAAAAATATTGTTTAGGGAAGGATCAGGGGTGGGATTCTACCAGTTCGCACCTATTCGCTAGAACCGGTTGTTAACATTCTAAGCAGTTCGGAGAACCGGTTGTTAGAAGAAATTACTGGTCTAATCCTGTAAGGAAGGCAGGAAGGAAACATTCTGGTGTTGCTTACAGGAACTGCCTCTCCGTTAACCCTTATTACATTCTTGGCAGGACTAGGCTTCCTGTCTCAGGAACTTCTCTGGAGCTTTTTCCCGCCTCCTTTGCTTGTACTTTGCTTGTGTGGAGTGACCATTCAAAGTTACAATGGCACTGAAAAAAGTGACTTATGACCATTTTTCACACTTACGACTGTTGCAACATCCCCACAGTCATGATATGCCAGGCGAGGAGATGCGTGCCTCCGATGAGTTGGCCACACCCAGCCAACAACATGACCACCAAGCCATGTCCACCCAGTCACATGACCACCAAGCCACACCCACCAACTAAGCCACGCCCACAGAACCGGTTGTTAAAAAATTTGAATCCCACCCCTGGGAAGGAGGTTCAACTGGAGTCATCTGGTAGCCTCAGAGCTCCAGGCCTTCCATATATTAAAGGCAGTATTCTTGAATTTGATTGTTAGTTTGTATCCTGCCTTTATTTTTTTTACTAATAACTTGGCAAATGTTTATTTAATTTGTGTTTCACACTTCTGAACTGCCCTTCTCCTTCCTATCCAGCACACTTCCCTCCTCCTATTTTCCTTAGAACTGTGATAGCAAACCTATAGCAGGCATGCCGGAAATGCAGCGGTGGGATTAATTTTTTTTTTTACTATTGGTTCTGTGGGTGTGTGGTTTGGTGGATGTGGCAGGGGAAGGATGCTGTAAAATCTCCAGTCAGAGGTGGGATTTGCTGGTTCTCTGAACTACTCAAAATTTCCGCTACCGGTTCTCCAGAACTGGTCAGAACCTGCTGAATACCCACCTCTGTGGAAGTGGCAGACAGA